GGCTAGTTTTTTAAAAGTTTTCGTTTAGGCCTTGTAATAGGTTGGCCGTCGGGTCTCACTGTGGCCTTTTGCTTTTTATTTCACAAATGACTAATGGTGTTCAGCATCGTCTCATTCAGCTCACTTGTCATCTGTAGAGATCTTCTTTGGTAAAGCACCTGTTTTTTGTCCATTTTAAAATTTGATTATTTTTGTTGTTGTTGAGTTTGGGAGAGTTCTTTATATGTTCTGGCTACAAGGCCTTTATCAGATTCTTTGCTTTCCAGATATTTTCTCCCAGTCTGTGTCTTGTCTTTTCGTTCTTTCATCAGGTGTTTTGAAGAGAAGTTTTTTATGATAAAGTCCAATTTTTCAGTTTTTTCTGTTAATGTGTGATCCTTTGGGCGTTAGTCCATTTTCACGCTGCTGATAAAGACGTACATACCCTGACTGGGTAATTTATAAAGAAAAAGAGGTTGAATGGACTCACCGTTCCACGTGGCTGGGGAGGCCTCACAATCATGGCAGCAGGCAAAAGGCACGTCTTACAGGGTGGCAGACAAGAGAATGAGAGCCAAGCCAAAGGAGAAACCCCTTATAAAATCAGATCTTGTGAGACTTATTCACTACCATGAGAACGGCGTGGGGGAAACCGCCTCGTGATTCAGTTATCTCCCCCCACGTCCCTCCTGCAACACGCAAGAACGATCTGGGAGAAACCGCCCTGTGATTCAGTTATCTCCCCCCACATCTCTCCCGCAACACATGAGAACGGTGTGGAGGAAACCGCCCTGTGATTCAGTTATCTCCCCCCACATCTCTCCCACAACACATGTGAACGGTGTGGGGGAAACCGCCCTGTGATTCAGTTATCTCCCCCCACATCCCTCCTGCAACACATGAGAATGGTGTGGGAGAACCGCCCTGTGATTCAGTTATCTCCCCCCACATCCCTCCTGCAACACATGAGAACGGTGTGGGGGAACCGCCCTGTGATTCAGTTATCTCCCCCAACATTCCTCTCACACCACGTGGGGATTAGGGGAGCTACAATTCAAGATGAGATTTGAGTGGGGACACAGTCAAACCCTATCAGGTATCAGGGCTAAGAAATCTTTGGCTGTCTCAAATTCACAAGATTTTCTCCTGTATTTTCTTCTAGTAACTTCATAACTTTTGGTTCAGGATTGAGCAGGATTTTCGTTTATTGTACAAGGTTTTAATTCTTTATTTCCCCCACGAACACCCAGTTGTTCCAGAACCATTTGTTGAAGAGACTGTCCTTTCTACACGGAATTGCCTTCGTATATTTTTCAAAAATTGATTGTGTTTATACGCCTATTTCTGGACTCTGTTCTGTTTCGTTGGTCTGTCTGTCTTGCAGACCAGTACTGCACTGTTGTGATTACTACAGTTTTAACATAGTTGGTGAAATTAGGTAGCCCCTCGTTTTTCGTTGTCAATGTTGTTTTCTCTATTCTAGGTCCATTACCTCTCCATATGAATTTTAGAATCAGCTTGCCAGTTTGTACAAAGAAGCCTGTGGGATTTTGACTGAGTTTGCTCGATTCTGTGGATTAATTTGGGGGAGAAGTGCGTTCCCAACACCCAGAGTCTCCCGGCCTGTGGACAAGGCATGTCTGTCTGCCTGTGTGGAGGTCGCCCTGGATCTCTGTCCACAGTACTCCGAGCTTGTCACCTGCAGGTTTTTCTTGGCCTGGTTCCGTTCCATCTCTATGTGTTTCATGGTGTTGGAAGCTTTTGTAAGTGATATTTTCCAGATGACTTTCTGGTGCTGAGTTCTACTTTAATTCCACGATGGTCCTATAACATAGTTAGAATTATGAAATTCCTAAATAGACTGAGCCTTCTTTCACGGTTTAGCATGAGGTCGTCTTGGTACATAGTTCAGGTGCTCCTGAAAAGACTGGACCTTCTGCTCTTAGAGTTGAAGCGTTTATCCAGGTGAAACAGGTCAAATTGGTGGATCATGTGATCCCTGTCCTCCTGATTTTTTGCCCGTTGTTCTATCAGCTACTGAGAGAGTGATGTTGAAGTCTCCGATTGTCATCGTGGACCCGTCTGTTTCTCCGGCCAGTTTGGTTTCATTTGTTTGGCAGCTGTTTTATTAGTACAAACGTGTTTAGGATGATTATTTTCCCTTGATTAATGGATCTCTTTATTATTGTAAGTTACCTTCTTGGTAATAGTATGTGCTCTGAAATTTACTATTTCCGGTATTAGTAGCGTCTCCGGCTTTCTCTTGCTGGTTTTCTTAGTGATGGCATGTTATGCCTTTTTGCATTTTTGTATTTAAAAGTCTTTATTGTCGGTGGTGTCTAACTGGGTGTTGCTTTTTAATCCAGTATGAGTGTCTGCCTTTTAATTGTGGTTAGGCTACTTACATCTAATTTGATTATTGATATGATTAGTTTTGATCTTGTCATTTTACTATTTTCTGCTTGTCTGTCTCTTCTTCATTCCCTTCTTCCTGTTTTTTTTCTTTTTTCCTTTTACCTTTTTTCAGTCTACTTCGCTGTTTTTCTGATTTTGTTTGATTTCCTTTTTTGGCATACAGTATAATCACCTTATAGTCACAATGTTGGTTTTTCTCCTCCAACCTTTATACTGTTGTCATACATTTTATTTAGTCCATATATTAAATCCCCAATATATTTTCATTAATTTTGTTTAATTCATTAATCACTTTAAAACGTTAATAATTTAAATTTTTTAAACAGACATGAATATAAGAAAGCTCTCCCTACGTGCAGTTGCTGTTCCAGCCCTCCTGGTTCCCCATGCAGATCCGGGTTTATGTGCCCCGCCCCACTCTCATCCTCCTTTGCCTGCAGGCCTTCCCTGACGTTTCTGTAGAGCAGTTCAGCTGATGATGAATTCTTTCAGCTTTCATGTCTGATCCGAAGGCATCTTTATTTGCTTTTGTTTTCGGAGATGCTTTCACCGTTCTAAGGTGGTGGTTTTCATTTCTATTGGCATTTCAGAGATTTCTCTCTCCTCTTTTCTCTGTTACACTTTTTCTCATGAGAACCCCACCTTGTGCCTCCGTAGGCACTGCCTCTGCCTTTAAGGTGGTTTTCCGTGCTGTGGTCCTGAGCAGGCTCGTCCTGATGTGCTCTGGGGCTGCCAGCGTCTTGTTTCCCGGGCTTGTGTTCCTTGTGCTGCCTTATGTCTGTTGAGCTTCCTGCGTCTGTAGCTTTATACTTTCCATTGAATTTGGAACTTTCTGACAGTATTTGTTCCGTCATTTCCTCTGCTTCCTTTCCTCTGGGGACTCTCATTCGTGTATTTTATGCCTCATGAAGCCATCCCACAGCTCAGTGATTCTCTTTTCATTTTTCAGAAATCTTTTCCTCTCTGTGTTTGCTTATTTATTTGTTTTTGACATAGGGCCTTGCTCTGTCACCCAGGCTGGAGTGCACTGGGGTGATCTGGGCTCATTGCAGCCTCCACCCCCCGGGTTCAAGCGATTCTTAGGCCTCAGCCTCCTGAGGAGCTGGAACTACAGGGGTGCACCACCACGCCCGGCTATTTTTTTAATTTTTAGTAGAGAAGGGGTTATGCCATGTTGGCCAGGCTGGTTTTGAACTGCTGGCCTCCAGCGATCCAGCTGCCTTGGCCTCCCAAAGTGCTGGGATTATAGATGTGAGCCACCGCGCCCGCCTCTGCGTTTTGTTTTTGATAGTTTCTGTTGCTGTGCCCTGACGGATTCTGTTTCTCTAACGGATTCTGTTCTGTCATTAATCCCATCCAGTGTGTTTATCTGAGATGTTGTAGTTTCCACTTCTACATGTGTCTCTTCCATGTCTGAACTGTTCCATTTTTCCACTAGATTTAACAACTCTCTTAATGTCTCCGTTTGCCAGTGTTGCTGTCTGTGCAACACTGTGTCTTGGTAGGTGTTCGTTGATTGGTTAATCTCTTCATTATAGGCCAGGTTTTCCTGCTGCTTTAAATGTCTGGTAATCTTTGATTGGATGGCAGGCATTGTGAATTTTAGCTTGTTGTGTCCTAGACATCTTTGCATTTGTATACATCTTCTTGATCTGTCAGAGATGCAGTTAGGTTTCTTGGCAAGAATTGGGTTTCCTCGGGTCTTGCTGTTGTGATGTGTTGGAGCACCCTGGAGCAGGTCTCAGGCTGGAATAGCTGTCCCCACTCCTGTCTCCACTCCTGTCCTCACTCCTGTCCCCACTCCTGTTCCCCCTCCTGTTCCTCCTCCTGTCCCTACTCCCGGCCCCACTCTTGTCCTCACTCCCGTCCTCACTCCTGGCCCTGTGCGGTGTCGAGTAATCTTTCCATCACTGTGGGCCTTGACAGACTTTTTGATTTTTAAACCACATGAATATATTTTTCATTCAAAATATTAGATCTAGAAGTGAAGACAAAACTAGACAGCTTCTTACAGTGAACTACAACTGGCCCCATTCCGGTTGCAGCCATGAAGGTTTGTTTTGCATTCTTTTCCCACTGCGGAGAAGGGAACTCACTGTGGTCACCCCGAAGCCTGCTTTTGTTTCTCATCTGAATTGTGCCTCTGTGGTCCCCCGTCATCAGCTCCTTCCACACCCCGCAGTCGAAGTCCTTTCCTGTCTTTTCCTCATTTCTGAAGATGTCCTGAGGTCGCTTTCCTGTCCCTCAGTGTCCCCTGCACTCTGCCGTGACATCACCCTCTGGGAGTGGCTGACGGACACACTACTTCCAGGTGTCCTGCCTCGGGCTGGTTCCCACAGCCAAGGTGTGGTCGACGGAGACTTTCTCCGCACAGGCTCCTCCAGCTGAGCGGGGGCTGCCACGGACTCCCCCATCCTGTACTTGTGTCCTTTTCCAGTTTTCTCTTGATGTTATCTCCGGACTCTGAGAGCTTCACAGATATGTATTTAAAACTAAAGCTGTAGAGCTGGATCTCCTAACCTTTCGCTTCCTTGTCACCCAGAGGGCAGGACTTCCCCAGCATGGCTGGCCACGGATACCTGGTCACCGTCTTGCTCTCTTTGCAGGTTGAAGGTCGAGGAGCTGGAGGGCGAGCGGAGGCGGCTGGAGGAGGAAAAGAGGATGCTGGAGGCACAGCTGGAGCGGCGTGTGCTGCAGGTGAGGGCAGGGCAGCCTCTGGGGGCGGCACCGCCTGGGGCCTCGCATTTCTCTGTGCAGCATGAATGTCTGTGGTTCCTGCCGCCACAGAACACCTGTTTTCCGGCTCGTCTCTCTGAACTCTCTGGGCTCTCCTTCCTCCCATGTGCACCGCCTTGCCTGGCGGGGAGGCCGTGCCGCTGAGAGGCCTGCATTGGCCGCCCCTGGGGTCCTCTCCGCCCTGCGCCACCCACACGCCTGGTATTAGTGGAGTGGGCTCTGGGCGAGTTTGCACTGTGCCTACCCGGGATCTGCCGTGGCGAGGCTGGACTGCTGTTTGTGTTCTTTTAATTGTTCTTTCTCTTTGGTTTTCATCCTCCTGTCTGAGTTGCTGCATGGCAGGAAGCCCTCAGGTTTGAGGTTACCGGGTTTTTGGACAGGCCATTGATTTTATCTTGGCACCTATTAGAGGCAGATCAAATCTATTTTTTATGACCAGTTCCTGGAGATGGGAGGAGTGACATCTGTGGTGACGGGCAGCTCTGAGCCGCGCTGGCCTGTCCTCAGCCTAGGACCTGTCATCTTGTTTTAATTGGGCCGTGGTGTCCAGGGAGGGGTCACGGAGCTGCTGCCCACCCACCAGAGGCTTCGCGTCAGAGCTGCTGAACGTCTTTCTGGGTGTTGGGCCGAGCAGAGCCTGAACCCTGCTCCTTGACGCCCACGTTGCCTGCTGACGGGGGGTCAGGCATCTCCGCAGGCACCACTTACGGCTTTCCTGCTCCTGCTTCCAGCCCTTTCCCAAGGGCACCCTCAGCGGCCGGCCCTTGGAGCTGGTTGAGGCGTGAACGAGGCGAGGGGTGTGGATGAGTGCTGTGCCAGCACCTGGTGAACAGCTGGCGGGGCCTGGCCACCATCCTCGTCTTGTGCAGAAACAATGTGTGCTCAAGAGCTCACTAGTGGAGCACTCCTCTGTGGGAGATGCCAAGGGCTGTCACACACCACGGGGTTGGCATGAGGAATGGGGCTGGCAGTGTCACCTGTGACCCTCCCCTGAGCTCTGCCAGGGCCTTGGAGGGGTGGGGGCTCTGCCCCCTCGCATGTCCTGCAGCTGCTCAGAGCTGAGGCGTGGTGTTGGCCACCCCAGGGCATGGGTGCCACAGTGTGGCCAGCGTGGCCGTTTGGGGAGAGGACAGGGCTGGGCCTGGTGGTCCTGGGGAAGCAGATGTTTATGCCGTGATGTGACCTCGAGCCTAGCCCAGGATTCAGGAGCTGTTCCTCCTGGGTCAGGGCAACGGGGATGACTGTCTGGATAGCGTGGGAGAAGTAAGTGCAGAGCAGTGAGGTGGGGAGGCCGCTGGGGTTTGGCCTGTGGAGTGTTGGGAACTTCCAGCCAGCCCTCCAGCTGCTGCCACCTCTGACACCACCTACAATTTCAACCTTAGTCGGGGGATGCCCAGGGTGGCCCTGGGGAAGGTGAGGCCTCACAGGCCCTGTGGTGGCTCAGGCTGCCCCTGACTCTGGACACCCAGGGCTGTGCAACTGAAGGAAATAATGTAAATAGGGGTCTATTTCCAAGATAAAGTGCCTTGAACCGGCTTAGGTCAGCAAACTACAGAAGAAACAGGATGTACCAGGCCCCTGCTTGGATCACCGATGCCTGTTTGTCAGGCTCCCCTTCCCCCTCTCCCCCACACCCACCTTACTTGCCCTCATCCAAACCAAAGAAGTTTAGTCTAAAATGAAAGTTTACTAGTCTGCAAAATAGTTCGTTTTGCCTGTTCTTACCGGCTTGCCCAGCCACTTAGATTGTAACTCAAATATCTGAAGAGACCCTGAGCTGACTAGGATTGCATTGCATCGTGGGCTGCAACAAAATGCAGCAAGACAACCCTAAAAAAACCTACAGCCCCTGCCCAACAACCAATAGGCGATGTCCAGGAAGACTGTGACCCCGCCCCCCCCAGTGCTCAGCCTGTGAGGAACGGGGGGAGGGGCCTGCACACTAGGGGATAAGTGGCTTGTGACCATGCTGGGTGTGCCTGCCCACCTGACACCCGATCTTGCAAGACCACTGAAAGTCTCTCTTTTGGCCAGGCAGGGTGGCTCACACCTGTAATCCCAGCACTTTGGGAGGCCGAGGCGGGTGGATCAGCTGAGGTCAGGAGTTCAAGGCCAGCCTGGCCAACATGGTGAGACCCCGCCTCTACTAAAAATGCAAAAATTAGCTGGGCGTGGTGGTGGGCACCTGTAGTTCGAGGCAGATTGCAGTTAGCCAAGATTGCGCCACTGCACTCCAGCCTGGGCAACAGAGCGAGGCCCCAGGAGCTGGCTGCCACCCCCGCACCCCCTGTGCGATGCCCTCCCTGCTCCCTGCTCCCACTCCCTCTGGAAGCCTCAAGTTAGGCCGCTTCAAGGAAGATTGATTAAAATCAGCTGCAGTCTGACTTAATTGGGAACATATGCTTGGAGAGGGGCTTGACTAGTTAAAACTTTTTGTAATTAGTTTACAGCTGGTTGGCGAGGAAAGAGAATTCCAGTTACCCCTTAGAGCTGGGCGCAAGTGCCGCTGCCCTCCCATGGTGCTGGGGCCAGGAAACCAGGGCTGGTAGGGCTGTCACTGGGCCCTGCTGTGGCACTGGCCTTTCTGGGTCTACCTAAGAACCCAGAGCTGTCCACACACTCATTAGGGCCAACTGTGTGCGCCCTTGTGTTGCTGACGGGGCTGGAAGTGGGTGGGTGTGGCCTCCTGGGCGGCGGGGCCTCCCATCTAGTGGTGGGGGTGGGAGAGCTTGGGCGCCCACCGAGGGCTGGCCGGGCTGCTGGCGCCCCCTCTAGAGATGGGGAAAGTGAGGCCCACAGGGAGCCTGCGTATGAAGGAGGAGCTCAGACGCTCCGTGTTGGGGAGGCAGAATGAGGCTTGAACGTGTTGCAGTGTTCTCAAGTGAAGACAGAAATCGGGCAGACCCCATGGAACTCCAGATCTGGCGGCAGAGGGACCCTGTGGCGATTGGTGCAGCTGCAGGAGTCGGGTCAGGTGGGCAGCACAGTCCCTCACCCCACCTGCAGCCACAGCCTCCCGCCCCACCCCTGTCCCCACTCCCTGAGTGTGCTCTGTGCTTTTCCACCGGCCTAGAACCGAGGAGCTGGGGCCCCAGCGCTTTGTCCTCTTCTGGCTCCCGGCTGCCCTCTGGTGGGGACACTGGGCTCCCCCCCTTGTGGTGGGGACACTGGGCCTTGCCGGCTTGGACCCCACAGCCTAGGGTGGGCCAAGGCTCTGCCTCCCACCGGCTGCGGCCTGGCCTCGGCATGCTCCCCAGGATGTGGAGGGCACGGGCCTTTCTCGCAGAGTGTCTCTGGAGATCTCAGGTGATGGCTCCTGGAGGGCCCTGCGCGTACCTGGTGAACCAGGCCTGCATGGCGGCCATTTTTGTTATCCATCATAATACCGTCGTCCTCACCTCCGAGACACGTGCACGTTTTCCACATCTGTGGTTCTGATGGAACACATTCCTGGATGGAGGGCACCAAGCTGGGGCGGGACACATGGTGAGGCCGGTGGGGGCTCACAGGCCGCCCTGGGTAGAGAGGGGCACGTCCAGTGGAGGCCGCACTGGGCAGGACACCAACCTTCTGGCTGGGTGGGCGCATCTCCACCTGACAGTCCCACCCGGCAGCCACCAGCTTCTGTACGTGAAGTGTGCAGCGTGGGCCAGCACCCATGCCCTATGGGGCCCCCGTGTCACCCAGCAGTGATGGGAGCAGTATTCAGACTCAGCCCTGTTGGGTTTTTTCAGCATTTGATTATGAACATTTAAAGATTCATTGTGACGCTGAGAGAAGTCTGCAGCGAGCGCCTGTTCACCCACCACCAGAGCTCCACCGTGGACGCCCCGCCGCGGGGCCTCCTGACAGCTCCTTATCCTTCGCCCAGCCGCCGCACCGCTTCATTCTTCTGACGCGCTTTAAGTAAATTGCAGACATCTGCACACTTCCTCTAAATGCCTCCGTGTGCGTGTAATTAAGTAGAATTCATCTTTGGGTTCTGAAGCCCATGCTCCAGCCGTTCCTCAGTGTGGCCTCATCACGGTGCTTGTTTGGGCAGGTTGGTGGTCAGGGCTGGTGCAGCCCCCCAGGGCTGCCCGCCCCACCTGCCTACTTCTCCCTAGCGGGGGCCTCGGGTGGGATCTGTGGCTGGGGCTAATCTCAGTGCCCCAAGTGCTGCTCAGGAAAGAGACCAGACAAGAGCCCCACGACGTTTAAAATAAGTGCATCTGTTTTGGGAAGGAGTGGGTAGAAGAGTGCTGGGTTCCCTGTGTGCAGAAACTGGAAGCACACGGAGACCGTTCTGCTCCCGTCTGCACCAGCAGGCAGGCGGTGCAGTCCCTCACATCCCTGGTCGGTGTCCCTGGGACCAGGACGGGGCGGGCCCATCACCCCTTCTCACCCCCTCCCTGAGATGCCATCCCTGTGGCCCCCAGACCCCTGGAATTCTAAAGCCCCCAACCCTTAGCTGCCCTGGGAGAGGGCTGCATCCCCTCCTGGAGCCACAGCTGCCCCCTTTGTGCCGGCATCTGTGCCCAGCTGTGGTGGGCTGGGGTGGCGTCCCTGTCCCTGTCCCGGGGCCTCCCAGCAGGTGCTCTGAGCCAGTCTCCTCAGGTCTAGCCTCTCCCACTTGCTGGACTCCTCCTAGTGATGCATGTGGCTCATCAGTGGGACCTTTGTTCTGTGTTCGGCTCTTTCTCCTGAAACTTCTACTGTGCTGGAAGGAGTGTGGCCTCTGGACCGGGATGACGGACCTGGTGTTAACCTGGCAGCCTCGGGAAGTGCTCCTCTCTGAGCCCTGCGGGCCTCCTCTGTGAGGCGAGGGAGTTGAACTTTTCCTGGGAGGCAGGATCATGGGAGGGCAGCTCTGTGGGGCCTGTGGGACGCCGTGCCCACAAGCCCAGCCCTCCCGTGCGTGAGCTGCCTTCACGCACCTCCTCTGTGCCAGGCGCTGCTCTAAGCCAGAGCACAGCAGGGGC